TTTTCCACTGAGCTGAAGTCAGATACTGATGTCAAACAGCACATCTCACTGCCACTTGAGAGTCCACCACCTGAGTCCTTGGCCCTCGAAGAATCACAGGATATATTGGATGACAAACGTGCACCTGATCTTGCCAACATGGCTAACAACAAACTCACCTCTCAAATGCTCCCTAAGTGCTACTAAAGACTGGGATTATTTCTTTGATAACATCATAATAGTATTTATAGTGTTTTAAACTACAAGACAGTTTAAACCTTTTCTCTCGGAGAGCCTCTACAACACAAACTGCACCTATATTCTGTATTTTACGGTAACGCACGCTTTCGAAGACATCATATCCACAGTTTTAAACCTTTTACCTCGTACCTGTTTAGCAGACCTGAGCTGTTCACAGTTCATTTAGGAATCATTGAATCCTCATTGCATCATGTTTCCATTCACCGCACACTTTAACTGTGTATAGTCCGTGAAGAGATAAAAGCGTGTTGACAAGCTAACAAAGCCTTTTTACTCAGTGCGTGCACGATTTTCATGACTAAAAGGATGGAGTCCTCACTGTGTGATAATCCTGTTTGAAGGCGTAACACTATTATGTCAAACCTTTTTCTTCAGCCTGAAGCTTTTCACTGCAAAGTTTCACACTTTAGTTATAAGTGCTCAAGGTTGAGGACAACCTTTTGTAGTTTTATACTTCACTCTCTCAAAGTGTTGACGTGGTTTCAGGATTTAATTTGATGAATAGCGGATGATTGTAGCAGCTTAGAGCCCAGTGTTTGTTTGTGCCAGTGTTTTATATCACAGCCATGCTCACATCTCTTTGCCCACATGATTATTATTGATAAATATGCATGAGAAGTAGGTTAAGCGTTTAAAATGGTATGGCAGTTCAAAGCAGTTTTAAATTTAAGCTGCCGTCAAGAGCAAGTTTGATGTTAAGGAGTATAAATCCAATTTAACAAAGTTGGGAAACCGTGTAAAAATCTTAATATAAAAGATTTCATAGAAAAAACATAATTTGAAAAACATTTAGTCCTTATTTCTAATACGAAATATTGCAAGATTCAACATCTGATAGGAGGTCGTCTGCCTTCTTGCTGGGTGAAGCCATTGCGAGAACAGCACCCTCTGGTGACGGGCTGCAGTATAGGTCATAAATCCCGTTTCCTCCAGCAATCCCTATGGAGCTGTGGACAAACTTTAGAAGTTTATCACACAGAATAAAAAATGTTCTCCCCCCTGCTTGTGATGTTGACATGTAGTTACTGTTAGACTGGTTTGTGCTCAAGTCCTCTTTTTTCTGTACAGCTCCATTTTTAAAAGTTATTAGCGGGTTCATGTTTTCTATGATTGACACGTGATACAGCTTACGGGCGTACGAAGATTGCGTAGCTGCGTACGATGTTTGAGCAGAACGTCATCACAGTGACTCTCCCGCCGAATGCGTACAACGCCACTGCGCAAGTGGTGGTTCCAGGAAGTGGAGAAAAAACGCAGAAATACAAAGAGCTTTTTGGCTTCAAATCCGTATACTGGCAGAGGGCGGAACCAAAATGTCCGTAGTATATACAATCTATGGGTGCTACTGATTAAAAAAAAGGCATGACTTTGTAGTGGAAATCACTGCAAGCCCTCTTCCAAAATATAGTTGGTAGCCATATCCACAAATGCAGGTGATAATTGTGCAGACAACACCTTTCTTTTAACAGAAGACTTCATATTTCAGCAAAACACTGCCAAACCACCTCCTGCTGTTATTAAATGCATCATGGCTCAGTAGTCGAGGAGTCCAGGTGCCAAACGGTCCTATCTGCAGTCTGGACTAGTCACCTGTTGAAAATGTTGTGGTACTTGAGACCTGAGACTGATAAGCTGCCGACATCTTCATTTGTCAGTGAAAATACTGGAAACTGGTCTCCTTGGATCCCAGCTCTATTTATAACATACAAGTCAAGATACATGAATGAGCGCAAGACAAAACAACCGATACTTTTGATCAGAGATTCAGCTCCATATTCAACTTTATAACTGACTGTGTACAAAATATTTGCAAACCATCAAAAGCTGTTTTTAGCATCCTGATTTAGGTGAATTTTGGGTTCTTATATGTAAAAAAATGCACAAAGTATAAGTAACCATAAACTGTGTTAAAATCAGAGGAAACGTTCATGAGTTTTGATTAGGTTCTTGGTGGTGCGTAATTAAAAATAAAAAAAAGTTCAATGTTTTTCCTCCGTTTTAGAAATCATGCAGTTCTCCGCTCGGGCTCACTCATGCCTGCAATGAGAACAAATTCTGACATATTATCTGCTGCTTGGGAACAGCATCAGCAAATCCAAATTAAAAGGCGGCTAAAATAAGAGGAGGAAGTTTCAGCCAAATGTCATCTCCTTCTTAAAATTCTGTGTTATCAAAGGAGCTCATGTCACCCCTCATTTCTGATATGTCAGTCTTTGTCACTGCAGCCTGTGAACTGAAGCATGAATGCCGAGATATTTTTATGAAAAGGGTAACTCTTCAAGGACGCCAGGAGACTGTGGAAACATGGCGCACTGTAAAAAAAAAACCCTGTAAAAAAAATTCTATTGTAACAAGTCTATCAGCTTGAATCAGTCCAGCTGCCTCTCTCATCAACATGGCATTTGCATCTGGGGTATTTTCTCTCTTTTTCTTTTGGATTAAACACTATAAACTTTAAAAGATGTTTGTGCGTGAAAATCCCAGTGAGTCGACAGTTTCTGCTCCCAGACTGCCCATGTCTTGCGGCAACAACTAAAGTGGCTGATGAGTCTAAGTCAATAGCGATTTCCAGCACAGCCAGATGGGGAAATTAAAAGTAGATTTAATACTGCCTTTCAGAGGAGACATTTAACTCCTCACAAGGGAGAGGGGAGAGGAGAGTTTAATGTCTCCTTTTTAGAAAATATATTTCTACATATTTTTAGTTAATATGCATCCCTACAGATACTCTATAAATCAATACACGGCTTAATTAAATGGGCAATTAAGCAGCTGCAATTGATGATTGTTGGAAATTGTTTAGAAACTCGGGAGTCATATGTTACCCCACACATGGTGACAAATTCTTCTTGTAGTGTATGTGTGTGTTTGTGTGTAATGATGTGGCTAACACAGACGCCTTTCACCAGCAGTCTCTCTCATACCTGGATATCTCATATAGTCTCTTGTGGTCGTGGCAGACCACAGGTGCTCGCTGTTGTTTGCCACCTAGCTTTCTGGTACTTCCATCGAAGTAGAAGCATCTTTGAATTAGGGCCCAACAGATTTCTCGGCGAGCCAATTAAATCAGCCAATTTTAGCCCGTTTGAGACTAATCGGTAATTGGCCAAAACTCGCCGATATATTTTCAGATATATGCAGAGAATAAGATTCGGTTTCACTTCGAAAATGTTCCGCCATTTGAAAAGTTCCCCGACTTATCCTGTAGATGGCGCAGTGACCTCATGACAATCTTCATCCACTAACTACCTCACAGCACAGCAGAGTGACGGATCTGAAGCAGGCAGCTCAGGGACGCACTGAGGAGAGTGGTCCGCCTCAACGGTAAATAAACTAGTTTGTGAAATACACAATGAGTCAACAAGTTTCAGTTCAACCCACTTCACCGTGTTCCAGTTAGCCAGTTAGCTATTATTGCTACGCTGTTAGCCGTGCCAGTAACGGTAGAATAAACAACAGTACACATTACGTGATCGAGCTACTTCTCTTACTGAGGCAGCTGCATGTCTCCAGCTGAGACCGGACCAAAAATGTGGAGGCACACGGAGGCACTGATCGGCAGGGAGGGTAGTAGTCGAAAACACTTTATGATAAATACGAATATTACTGAGTTACTGAGTACAGTTGTTTTAGCAATAAAAAGGATTTGAAATGAGTTTCCTGCCTTAAATTCTTTGAATAAGTGTTTGAAAGGCTCAAAAGCAGCTCAACCATCCGATAAACTGGCCTGTGGTGACTTTTGTCGGTAGGGGGGAATCAGACCCAAAATGGGCATGATTATCTTGTGTGTGCATCACTTTAGAAAGTTGAGTAGGCTTTGCGAAGTTCTGGGGTGCTTATTAGTCAGAAAAGATCAGCTGAGATAAATGCATCACTAAGTCTGCGGGGAGTGGCAAATTCAATGGAAACAAAATGCCTTACAGGTGCTTTAATATAAAGAAAAGATAGCCTATCTGATCAGTGTTCGGTTTGATAAATTCACATTGCTTATACCGGATTTAAGTTTGTGCACCTTTAACTTTTTAAAATTGCTTTTCTCCATAAATTGATCTTGTTTGCTCTATCTAAACTGCATTAGTGAGATTAACACACTAAATACCACTTTGTCTTACAACTTATAAGATTTTAATATGGATAAAGACAAGGCATGAAATAGGAACTTCACATAAAGGTAAATCAAGCCTGCTGGATGTTATATATGATAAAAACAAGTGTACAATGTTGCTCGCAGAAGCACGAGTGAAAAAAAAAAAACACGGAGTAAAACTTATTCAGAAACATATCCACCCTGTTAGTGAAGTATAAATAGAAAGTGCATTATTTTAGTAAAACATCCCCTCTTGAGTAACAATTATCTTCTGTGAAACATGTTAAAAATGATGCTTTGAAAGGACAGTGTTAGTAGCTGAACTTTGCACATGTGACAATATATTTTGACAGTTTAAATTAAGAACACACAACATCGCACAGGTGACACATTTTCAGGTGACAAACACAAACTTGAAAAGCAAACCAGAGAAGGAGGAGGAGGAGGAGGAGGAGGAGGAGGACGGTTTCTGCAAGACACTGCCACCAAATGTCAGCTCAGAGTAAACACCCTGCTGCTTCATAAAGGCACCTCTGCCCATCATGCTTTCTGGTTTATCTCTCAGGCCTCTGGGAGTTTTATAAAACAAAAGGACATTATTCCAAGGCGAAGTGAAGATCTGGTGAATACATGAATAATGAAAATATGGCAAATTGATACACGCTTTGTGACTTTAGAGCTTAGAAATGGCAGTCAGCAAGGAACCAGTCAACACGACACAGGAAGCCAACAAGAAGACAAAGCAGTTGGATAAACCCTGAAAAAAAAGAGACAGAAAAGCGTGTTTTACATCAGCTTTATGCAAAACGAGGAACTTAATACTCCGTGTGTTTCTTTTATAAATTCACAGTTAATGCCGTCAACTACAAAAGACCTCTGGAGTCTAATTCTGCTGGTTAAACTCTTGCTTCTCACTTTTTTTAATGCGACGTTTCACACATATTACTTCAAAGAAACTACGAGATTAGTGTTGTGATCCGTACCTTAATCTCTCTAAACACCAGGCATCCCCACAGCGCTGCAACCAGACCATAACCCTGCAGAGCAGAAACCAAACAAAGTGAGCACAAACAGTTTATATCATCGATTTTCATCTGTGGACACAGAGTGGAATTTCACTCCGGCAAATGAGATTCTTTTACTCTCTCAATACTTACCGAAACTTTTGATGCACTTTTAGCACAAAAAACAAATCAGTGTGAGAGCGGAGCAGGACTCCGACACCTTTGCCTAATTTACATTTAGTGGTCGGATCACACAGGTGGATAACAAACCCCTGAGAGCTTGTTAAAGGAATCGACCTCTCATTATGTTTGAACACCTCTGCTGGAGACTTGTCCCACATTTAATGCAGTTTTTCTGTCACTGTAAAATGTGTAAAATGTTCTCTGTCTAAAGAGGAAAGCAGATGAGACCACATCTGATATGCTGTTTGCAAATCAGAGTTTTGCCTCAGGAAGAGGGACCTTTGGGGTCCGAAATCCAATCTGTAGAGCTTGAAAAGAGGGAGGATGTTCTGTTCGAGATCAGACATTAGAAACTAAGCTTAAAAGTTTTAAAGTAAAAAATAATTCAGTTAAATTTTGTAGACCGTAACTGGATGAGATCATGTGCATTCACTGAAAACATACGACAGCTCTGGAAAGACATCCACTCTGGAGGTTTGTCTCAACAAAGACAGATGGATCACACACACCCCCTCAGGCCTACTTTAAAGCTCCTCTGAGGGATTTTTTATCTGGTTATGAAACAGACTTAAATTTACGGTGCTGCCCTTTAATGACCTGCAAGTGAAAGAGACCATCTGTAACAAGACTGGGAATTTATATATCATAATTTTAACACTGTTTACAGCAGCGAGGGGGTAGGTGTCATATTTACGAAAGAGGATTGGGGCCACAAGAAGAGAAATAAATAATTATAGGAAGGAGATTTTTTTAATTTCCATTTCGAGATTCAAGTCAAAATTTCAAGATTTAAGTTGAAACTTAAAAAAGTCTAAATGAAATGCTGTATAACTTCAATTTGTCGTAGCCATCCATGTGTCAGAGCGCATTGGGTTAGGTAATGCCTGCGCTTTAGACGCCAGGCTTGTCTGTGCGCCACAGCTTCGGGATCAATCAACTTGATCAGTTGTCTTATTTAATCTTGCGATACAACATAGCCTCGCTGTATAGCACGCAGGTGTAACCATCGATAACCCTGCATCTGCATCATAATCTCTGGCACAGTCTTTCCAGAGTCTGAATACTCATGACCACACTGTGTTTGTGTGCTAAAAGAGCAAAGATTTCCTTGTTACTAAATCCAACTCTCAAGTACAGCTTTACAAACTTTTCTGCAGAGGACATGTTGAGTGACGAGCGACAATGCTGTTGATTCATTATCATTAATCTCAACATTATGACTTAATTCATCAAATTTCGTCTTTATTTGTGTCGACCCTAATCTCGTAATTTCGATTTAAATCACAAAATTTTGACTTTATTCATGTCGACTTTAATCTTGAAATTTTGACTTTAATCTCGAAATTTCGACTTCACTGACATCATTTTGAGTTTTTAATCTTGAAATTTCGACTTTAATCTTGTTCGTGTAATTATTTTTTTCTCTTCATGTGGCCCTAATCCTCTTTCGTACATATCAGACTTGAAAAAAGACCAGATAAACATCTTTTTTACTCTTTCAACAGAAAATATTCATAATGAGTGAAACACTTGACTGTTTTTCCTCAGGAAAAACAAGGAGCAACAATGAGAGTCTCATTATGTCCACAAGGGGGCATAAAAATCAACACATAGGCAGAGTCCCTTACAGGAGCTTTAATGGACACTTCCATATTGTCCAATTCTAACCTGCAGCTGCATTTGCATTGTTCTTATGAGGAACAAAAGAGACAAGACTGCCATTAGTTTGTGTAACTTGAAGTTTTCTTTACACTCAGAGATTGAAAGGCTGAACTGAGCTGAACTTCAGGTTTTACACGCAACCATTAATTCCCATTAGTCCTGTCCTCAGAGTCCAAAAGACATTCAGTTTACCCACCCAAGTGTCAGTTTGGGCCAAAATGTCACATCAACTGATGAATTCAAGCAATTAAACCGAGGACACATTATTCACTTCGATCTACACCTCCCCTGACCATCACCTTTCCACACAAACTACTTTGACAGCGAGTAGCTTTGGTCTTCAGCCAACAACCTTTCTACCCCTGATAAATTGGGCTAAACTTTTACACAGACATACCAAAATTAAACCTCAAGAGCGGATTAGTTGTGTATTTCACAGAAAACAACTTTTCAAAGATAAAAAACCCAACACTGTGTAAGCTTTTCATGCACCGTCACATCCAGGACTGTGTAAGAATAAAAAAAAAGACCCTGAGAGAGAAATCCTGCAGGGCTGAAAGGAGCTCCCAGTGAGAAGTACAAACTCTTTGAGTGAGCTGGCCTATTTGTCGTGCTGGTGTGCTCAGATCTCCAAGCTTGATGTCTCCGTGATTCTAATGAGATTCATCACACTTCACAGGAAGATTGACAAAATAATCAAAACTCTAACTTTTGAAAAACACTCTTTTTTTTAACTTCCAACATTACGTGAATATTCTCTCTGAGCGCCGAGCAACGTGTGAATCTGAGAGTCAGCAATGAACATTGGTTTCCACAGACAGGTGTCCGCTGCTTTTAGGACATGATGTACTCACTGCAGTCACAATAGGGAAGGTAATAACTGCACTTAGGTAGTTATTGGCAAGGAACCAGCAGTACGTGGCCAGCGCCCACATCACTCCAGACAACAGACCTGAGGAGCAGAGGGAAATAGAGTGCTCTTATTCTGGAGATAAATACATGGAAAATATGCATCACAAAGAGTGCGAGGGAAAATAAAGTCCAAAAATACAGAAAATAAAATCAAAGTCATGATATTAAACTCTGCTCTGACACTCTCTAATCCGAAATAATGACTGAAACCAACAGGGTCCAGCTTTTTTGCCGCATGTTGGTCTGAATGGTCGCCCCTGGCTCAAATTAACTCCCCCAGCACACTGAGTTAATGTGTTCATTCATGCAGGCTGGCAAAGGAAGCTGCTGCATTTCCTCTCATTCTTCCTCATTGGTGGAAGTCAAAATACAGTTATTTTTAGACACTCGCCGTCCCTTAAGTGTTGGACACTGCCCATGTTTCCAGAAATAAATCATCTGGTGGAAATGGTGTCGAGCTGTGGCCAGGACCTCCAGTTTTTAGACTCCCTTTCTGAGCCAAACTGGGTGATAGATTAGAGACCAGCGCTGTTGTTGGAGTATTTATATAAATAACAGCTTATTTAGTTGGGAAAATCTTGCCGCACTGTTATCACAAGTTGTGATTTGAATCGGGTTATTAGCAGATTTTCTCTCCAGGCTGTTTCATGTGAATTTTTATGAGCTGCCTAAAGGGAGAAAAATCTGGATTTGGTGAGACTAATCTGAAGTTAGAGAAAACTAACTTAGTTTTTCCTTCTCAGTCACCACAGGCAAAAGTCTTTATCTCATCAGGAAACCCCTGAATGTCAATAAAATTTAATATAACGGATTTAACCCTGAGCCTGTGCAGGAAAAGTAAACTTTTATAATGCTCCTTATGCCTGTTTTGAACCACCTTCATCTGCTTATTTCTGAATGACAGCCAATATGTATTGTAACATCTCTCTTTACTGACAAGATGTGATTGTGCCAGTCAAATGTAGCCACATGCTAACCCTATTTTAACCTGGATTTTAAGCTAAATGGAAAGCTTGTGTTCCAATTTGAAATGATGTCGTTATCAATAACGCTTTGAGTCAGCGATCAAAAGGATCAACTTTCTTTTGAGGAGATAAATCAGGAGAGAGGTAGGGTCATACTCTCCTCTGATTTCACAAAATTTCATTTCCTTTTACTGCAGAAAGTTTCAGGGATTTCAATGTTAGATTTTCTTTTTGAAACTAGAGGCCTTGGTCGTTTTTGTTCACCAAATGACTTAATTTTCAGCAACACTCCAAGTCAGGTGCAACTCAATATATCAGAAGAATTACTGCAGAATTACTGCATCAATAAGGCTTAGCATGGAGCCGGTCAGCGTTTAACTCTGCTGAGGTTGACAACAGCCCACATATTCTGGTCCCACATGGGGTTCAGGTAAAACGAGTTGGCTGGCCATTTGGTGGTAGTTTTCGTGCTGTGGGCAGGTGCTAAAGTAGGCATCTTCATGGGAGCATGAAGTACTCTAGAATCTCCTGGTAGACAGCTGTGTGGACCATAACCTTGATAAAACGCAGAGAACCAACAACAGCAGATTACATGGCACCTCGAATTATCACAGACTGTGGAAACGTCACACACCTTGGATTCTGTGCGTCAGTACTTCCTCTCTAGCGACCACTGAGCAACAGTCCAGTTCTTTTTCTCGTGAGCTCGGGTTAAACACCTCTGACACTGACATCTGTTCAGAAACAGCTTGATAATAGGAATGTTAAAAACCCCTTTTGCTGAAGACGTGTGCATGGTGGCTCTCCAATGTACAGGTACAAGCCTCAGCCCACTCGTCGTGTAGCTCTCCAAGGTTCTTGCATCGGCTATTAAGTGGTTTTAGGAATCTAGCATTTACTAAATGTTACTTTTCTTAGATATCCAAAGTAAAAAATTGTACAATATCAGGATTTATTGAGATGCACCTGCATACATTGATCTTGCTCTGGAAAAACTTAATAGAAATTCATCATGCAGCAGATTTAAATTTAATTCATGGTGACTCAAACAGTCTTAGTTTTGCTGAAAAAGTAAAAATTAAGTGTGCATTACCTGGAAGAATGGCTGCGGAGTAGACCCTGGGCTTGTTTTTCATGGCTGCACAGTAGATAGCAAAGTAAACAGTGCTTGCTAAAAAAATACCAGAGCACTGAGCGTAGACATAGTCAAGGTCTGTAAAGAAGATCAACAATGACTGTAAGGACACTCTGAATGTTTGATAAACAATAAAAGGCACGAGGGTCAAGGTTGGTGAAGTCTGTGAATCAAGACGACTTCTGAATATTTTAAACTCTAATGAAGCTTATAGAAATCCAAGGTGAGCAAAGTTATCCGACAATAAAATGTACCAAAAGCGCTAGCGCCCTGGAAGATGCAGCCGTTGCATGCAGATCTGGCCTTGATGTAGAGGATGGGTGTGAAGGACGAGCCGTACAGCAGGCCAGATAACACGGCAAGCATGCAGCCGCTGGAAAGCATGTGGAGAGACATGGACACGGCGTGATGGATGGGTTTTACATCTCTAATGACACGACATGGGGTTGTACACTGAATGCATGGGTAATGAAAATTGATGGTCAGGATGTAATATGCATGGTATGTAATTTTTTTTTGCACCTATTTGACAGCAAAGGACGTAAAAGTTGACAGTGAAAACTATTATAAACACTGCTCGTGCTGCACTCGCTCGATCTCACAAGACATTTACATTCATTTGCAGTGCTCTTATTTAAACATCTCAGCAGTTTGATTGAACGTTCACATTTTTCCCTTGTTTCAATAAATATATTGTTGCTAGAACCCATTTCTCCTGTGGTACGAATGAATATCTGAATGTATAATTTACTTATTCATAACTGAACAGCTTTCAAAAGTCCTATAGATCAGATCCTGAGGCATCATGTTCAACATCTCAGGGACATCGCTGTCGATTTAATCAAAGGCATCGTTTTATAATCCCTCCCTCCTCTGGGCTTTAACCTGCATGCGTGCACGAGCTGCTCACTAACTGCTAATCTGTTGAGCTCACATGAACCGCCTGGTCTTCACGCCGATGATGTCGATCCAGAAAGGTGTGGATGTTGGGCTGTTGATGCCTGAGACTGGTCTCTGCAGAAGGAAAGACAGAAAAAAAGAAAGACCTTCAGAGAGTCTACGTGTTCAGAAATGTACAGGTGCCAAGGGCACACGAAACCATTTGCACTCACTTTGGAGAGGCCGAGTGGCAGGAATTGATCCTCCTTGAGAAAGACGGATAGATTGGAATTAACTCTGGAGTGTTTTCAACAAAACAGAGGCTGAAAAAAATAAACCAACAATTATTGGGTGTACTTACTTTCTCTATCAGTAATGGGATGGTTTCTGAGTTGGGATGCAGATCCACGTCTGATTTTACAAAGAAGAAGATGAGCCCACTGGAAAAACAAAAAACACCAAAGTCATTCTGTTATCTGAAGCATAACTCAAGATGGCTGCAGAGAATTACCTGACTGCCTTACATATGTTTATCTTGAAGGTGCAATGAAATTAGAAGAAAGAGGGAGAGTTTACCTCCAATAAAAAAAGGGCCAAAGTTTACCTGAGCAGACACAGTGTAGCTCCACAATAGTTCAATACTGGCCTGGAGACTTCCTGAGGATTAATCCCAAACCAGCCGAATCTGTGGAAATTAGTCACTCTTAGTCTCTTAAAAGGTACACTGCAAGAATAAAGATACTGCAGGGTGTGAAAACCCAGACCGAAACTAATACTAATTCTTTTTTGTGGTCTTAGAAAGCAAGCAAAACCATGAGCAACAGGGCTGCGGATTCCTCCACTGTCATTTTTAAATGCCTGAAATTGCTGTGAGAGTGGAGGTGAGGGACCAGATAATAGACAGCAGAATGGATGGAACAGCCTTTCTTGGCGGTTTCCATGGAAAACACACATAAAGCGAGAAATTTTACTGTTAAAAGACAAGAGGATGAGGCCTCTATCGGAAAATAAAACTGTCACATTTGCAGGATAAAAGAGATCCTGCAGGTATTATATTGTCCATATGGGCGCCACAAATGATAAAAAACAAAAGCTCCAATAATATGGTGACGGCTTTCTTACAGGAGCCTTTAAAAAGACCTCTATAAAATGACTATAACAGTAAATTTCCCCCATCAATAGGTCAGAGAAATAAAAGAGTTTTCTTACTTTGTACTGGCCCAGCCCATCAACAAACTAGAGGATCCCCAAATCAAAACTCCGAGACTGAGGCCGACTGCCTTAACAATTGGAACAACAAGTATATTCCCTGAAAGAATATGAGAAGAAATGTTATCAATGTACACGATAAAGAGACAGCATATCATTTCATGAAGTGTGAGCACCTTTACAATGTGAGTAAAAGAAGTGTGAAGTGAAAAGACGGCAGACTGCCAAGTGGGTGAAAGGAGAAAACGATCAAATAGAAAATGTTTTAGCACTCCGATGTAGAAGACTTCTTTCAAGGTGAAGCGTCAGTGTTTTTCCACAATGTTTACAGTAACAGCTTTGGCACTAAACTTGATTTTAAAGGTTTGACACACTGAAGGTTTTAACCCAGATGTTCACAGTTCAACAAGTGTAGGAAAATGGACACAGTTTCTAACATAAGATTGAAGCAATGTTGCAGCGTGCACACAGTGATGAAAAAACATGATAAACGCAGAGATGCGCCATGAGATGTTTTCATGTGGTGTCATCTCAATAATATGAGTGACCCTGGAATCAGAAAGCATTATTTAAAAATAAAAAAAACTGACTTTTTGGGGTTAAGAAGAGGCTCCAGACTCACCCTTTTAACCAGGCTTTTCATTTATTGCTTTTTTATATTCCTCTTATTGCAAATGTTCATTTTAATCAAAGTTCTTAATGTTTCTGTCACTTCATTAGTTATTGTTCTTAGTCTTTTTCTTAATTCCCATCATAGATTTTTTTACTTCTCTTACCCCTTTTACATGGTATAGAACTCTTACTTATCTCTGCATTTAATTTTTTTTTTTTGTTTTAGTCCTTTAGGTTTTACTCTTTTTACCATTTTTATTTCTATCTCCAGTGTTTCCCAGTGGTAGCTCTTTCCTTAAGTAATGTCTCGGTGTCATGCCATGTCTCCTTAACAATATCTTTGTGTGCGCTTGTGTGTGGGTGAGTGAGGGTGGGAGGGTTGGGTTTTATTGTTGTTTAATTGTTGTTGTTTGTGAGGCACTTTGACCTACATCTTTTTGTCTTTGAAAAGTGCCATACAAATACAAGTTTAATTTTAATTTAATTATTACAGTTATAAAAGTTACAAACACAGATTTAGGCTGTGTCCAACATGTATCACTCAATCCCTAACCCCTAACCCCTTACCCCCATATGGGATTTCACTCTATAGTTGACTATGTAGTGAACTCAATTACCGGAGGTCTCGGACACTACATGGCAAGACGCAATGCATGACATGATGCCCACCACCGGTGAGTGACCATCGGATGATCACTACATTTTGCAATGCTCTATGGGAAATTTTGAGCCGCCTATATGGGGCATTGGAACTGATCACTGAGGTTTCGGACACCCCTCAAAATGGCGCTAACCCTCATATAGTCGCCTATATAGGGGTTAGGGATTCATTTTGGACACAGCCTTAATCAATAACCAACAAAAACATAAAGAACCTTACACTTTTTAAGTCTTGATGTCATGAGACCTACCTGTGGCCCAGATGAAACCTCCAATCATCGCAAAAGGGTGAAACTTTGGCGACTGAAGCATCAAGTCTCCAAGCATAGCTACAACCCATATGGCTGCACAGGTAACCCACTGAAAAAACATACCTGTGAACAGATCAGAGGAAGATTCATACAAGATTCAATGAATGTGAACTTTAACAGTCTTTTAATGAGGATTACATGTTACTAAATAATAAACAGGGCCACTGACTGGTGTCAAATCCTTGTTAAAAAAGAAATGTCATGCCTACCATCTCCTGTCTCTATTCTTTTGACAGGTACGATGTTGCTTCCATACAGGAGCACAGCAACCACATTTGCAGCAATCCCATAGGCGAAATGAGTCATATTGGTGGAGGTAATAGAGAAATTATTGGCTCCAATTCGGCCGAGTGCAGTATTTTCCATACCTGAATTAATTCAAAGCAGAATAAAACGACTTTTTTACACTTCAGACATAAAAAAAATCCTATCCTAAAAACGTCAACACTGTGGATTTAGATCAACTTACCTTGTTCAGTTGCATTTTCAATACTCTGACAGCAATTAATCAATAACGCGATGAGAAATAAAACCAAAGATGAGGATTTAGCTTCGAGCATTTTTAAAACGAAATATCTGTTGTTGTTTTTTTAATGTTGTAGCAGCTCCACAGTGATGAGTCCCAGCAGGAGGCCGCGTGCGTCTTCAGTGCCGAGGAGTGTCTCTCATCCAGGTGCTGCTAATTATCCAATTAACTGATATGGTGTCGTATACAGGCTGCTGCTGTGAATACACACCGAGCAGGAACAAAAGGCCCAATCTCACTCACTACACTCCTAAAGCCGAGGCACCATCCCTGCTTTCACGTGCTCCTCAGATGCTAAGGGTTCCCAAGTTAGGAAGTCTTTCATCCGAGTTTGGTGCGTTCAGGGGCTGTGGGTATTTTTACGAAAATGGAAAGACACTATGAAACAAATACATAGAAGTAGAAACATTAACTTTCTAAGTACGTCTCTGATGATTCTAAACAAACATAACAACACAGCCTCTATTTTAACCGTCAAACTTTAGGGGAGCTGAAATTAGTATCAAATACATGGACTAGCTTGACATTAAGGATATCTGACCGTTAAGTTACTTGGATATTTACTGCTACACCATGTCCCTGAGTGATAACATGTAAAGTCTGTCAATTTAACGAGTAAGTAACAAACTTTTCTTTGACCTCCTATCTTTTTTTCCAACAAGAGCGAGCTGAAAACTTCATTTTTAAAGTCAGAGATTAAATATACGGATATTCCCACAGTACATGAATGCAACATTAAACCTATGGGATTTAACTGACGTCAGGCGTCCAGTGCGTGAGCGTGTGAGTGCACGAGGGCTGGGAATGGTATTCACCACCATTAACTCAACTCACAGGTTCTCAGATTCTCACTGAATTTGTTTATAAAAATGAATCTTTAAAGTATTTTAGAAAATTAATCAAATGAAACCAGAAAGATAAATGTAACCACGACATTTGACTGAAAAATAGTAGGGGAGAGTGGGGTAAGTTGAGCCAAAGGGTAAGTTGAGCCACCCCCTGTTGCTTGGAAATGGTTAAAGAAATTGATCATGTGACCAAATATTTAGCAGATGGGCATCAATTCATGGAGTCTGTGAAGGTTAGAAACACATGGGTGAAGGGGTTAGACATTTATTTACAAAAAAACAACATTTTTTCACTCTTGAAAGTGAATTCAGTCTGTCATAAGTTTTATTAGAATTGTGTTCAGACCAAAAAAGATCATTTTAAATGTGTTTTATACATCAATTGTGGTATCGATGAGCTCTATGAGTAGTTCTGGAGTAAGTTGAGCCAGTGACTCAACTGAGAAAGTAAAGGAGTCTGATGAGAGGATCAGAGTTTCAGTTCAGATTGTTGAAATGTTTTACTTTGTCTTTTCAAAAATACAGCTGTGAATGTTCTGAATCACTTAAAGACATTCTCGTGTTAAAATGGCTTTTTACGAAACAGCTTTTTAGCAGTTATATGCAAAAATAAGAAAAGAATTATTGTACCAGTTGAAAAGCGTATTATAGATAAAAATACACATGAATGTGAAGAAGTGACTGTTATTTAGGGAGAGAGAAGGTGAGGGAGGGCTGGGGTAGAGACCCCATACACGGAGTAAGTTGATCATAGGAGACCACTTTTTTTGGCATGCTATATTATCAAGACAGTTCTGTTTTCACTCATTCTGTTGGTTTGCAGAGATGCACAAAATCTTGAAATGCAGATACACGAGTTAGAGACAAAACTGTAATTGCCATGATGTAGTGATCGGGAATATGAAAAATGGATCATCTTACCCCACTCTCCTCTAAAGGTGTCTCCACAATTGTTTGACTGCAGCTGGGACTCTGACAGAGGCCGAGTGGCTGGGATAAATGTGAACAGATACAAATCAATAGTGTTCATCTGTTTTTCCTTCATTATCCTCCTTATATAGGTCTGTAGAGAAGAAGCACAACAAATTTGGAAAGCTTGATTCTTCAGGACCTGAAAAAGATGTTTGTCATCATTATAGGCACCAACACAATTTTTATAAAAAGCTTCTGTCAGCCTGTTAACACGTGATTTTGACCAGTCATGCCACTGACATAGGAAATGGCCAGTCAAAGCTTGGACCACGTGGGGTGGCCAGTCAGATTTTAGGGTTTGGGGGGCAGTGCCACCCTCTATATCTCTGTGGGTACATCCCTGCTGCACCCCCACCACCCTCAGTTGTTGTCATTCATATTTAATTTCAATTTTTTTTTTATCCTGATACTGTTCATGTCTGCTTTGTTTAGATATAGAGAGGATGGAGGTTACAGTCTTGGCTGCTAATATCTATAAGGACGGTAATGCAGGAGGGATATTGACACTTAACACAAAGAATAATAGAGACAATAAAAATGAAAATGACTGTCTGGAAGAGTAGCATCAGTCTGGTTAATTATCTTTGTGACCTAGAAGACAGTTTTTCTATCAAGTGCTTTATGCGTCAGGGTAACAAAAGCCTCAGTTATCAAGCAGCTGCTCTAAATCAGTTTCAAATTTCATGGCGTTTCAGGCATTGCACTCAAAGATAAACTTGAGTGTGTGAAAATAATGCTTGAGATATATGAGTTATCCCACCTGGCATGCTGATGAGGAGAGTGTAATCATCTTCAATTTCCTCAACACAACAGTTCAGTAATGAAGCCTGTTTTTATTCAGGTCAGGAAATCCTCTGTGTCTGCATTTCCTTTCAACAGGATGAAACGTGGTTTCCTGCTGTCAAGGTACCAGCTTCCCCTCATGTTTCTCATATTCTATTCTTAAATCTTGCTCTCATCCAATCAAGATTTAAATTAAATATACCAGCAGATGTCGCCAAAAGTCGTAAATGCCCAGCGCATCAAGTAACTCATCACATTCACCTCTAACCTCAGTGCTGATCTCCTTAAAGCCTTTTCATTCATACCGTTACCATTTTCTCATGGTCATAAATATGTTCCAAACAATATCTCATCCTTATTTGGACTGATCACCACTAACTACATTCTCAATTTTCCTGAAGGCTTCATTATTTGGATGACAGTTATTCACAAATGGATGCCATGTTTTCATTCACTTTATTTGACTTAGTGGGAGCTTGTGCAGAGTGACTCCCTGCTTTTTCCAGAAGTCTAAAATTAATTACGGCACCAGTCCTCCTGAGTTAAATGCCAAACATGGTGTCAAAGTATGTTCGTATTTAAAACCGAAGCTCTAGGAAAATGAACCTAAAAAAAAAAAAGTTTAAATCCCCTCATGTAAAGTTGGAGGGTGGTTTCCCAGCGTGTCCATCCCCTGCGCAGTTGTCTGTGTGCACAATGTGGCCATAAATCCTCCCTTCCAAAATGAGTTTCCGAAGTTGAGCGCTCCTCCTGGTTTGAGTTTGGCGCTATAAAGACACTCAACCATGATAATATCATTAGTTCTAATGGGGAAGTCTCGCTTACACTGGCTCTGCTTCCCTTTCCTAAGACTGAGTGGCAGCTTTCGGAGGTGTCCTCCTTCCAGAAGGAGTTTAATCATTGGGATCGTTTGTGTCGTCTATTTGTTTTTTGTATTTTCACAGTTTGGATACTCGCAGCAGAACCAGGACAGGCGGACTGATAAAGACAAGTACCGACACACCCGTGGATTGTATAACTTAGAAACTAGTGTGCTTCCAGACTCTGTCCCCACGCGGTCTAACGTGGTGTACATAACTCTCAGGACAAAGCGCCTGAAACCAGCAAACATCCGTGGAACAATCAGACCAAAACTCAGGAGGAAAGTCAGGAGGAATATCACGGCTGGCGCAGCTTTTACGCAGAACAAACTTTCCACTTTGGAGCAGGACGCGGGCCAAATTAAGCGCAACTTTGAACGCAACACTTCCTTTGGGGAGAGCAGGGATGTTGACCACAGATATCAGGATTTATTCCATAAATCTCTCACAGATGAACACACAGACTCTCACATTAGTTCCATCCGAATTTACAGCCAGAGGGCACCGCCATGGCTCAGCACACAGGACGTGAAAGCCATGCGTTTCCTCGCGGATACCAAAGTTTTACGCATCAAAGAAGTTTCTCACGGAGACGCACGATCTCTTCTGATATTTCAGGGGGTGTCCGGTGCCTCAGTGACCGACCAAAAGGGCACAGAAAGAAACGATGTGTGTGGAGGCCGGTGTGGGATCATCAACAGTCCCGTGGACAACACGGAGGTCTTTGCTTTCCACTTAGACAGGGTGCTGGGACTCAACAGGACGTTACCAGCCGTGAGCAGAAAGTTCAGCTTTCTACACGGTATGTAAAGCAAACCAGAGAGCCTGTCTCTTATTCCCTCTCTAAAAGTGGATGAACTAAATGTCAGTGACTTTACATAATTGCTCTGCGTGAGACTCACTCCAACTGAGGATGACAATCATCACAGAGGTGGGGATGTTTATGTCTGAGGGAGAAAAGTAGTGCCTGAATAGCTGGTTTCTTGCACAGAGGGAACCTTTAAAATCAATTCAAGGATCCAGATCACAAACTGTGTTAGATTACCACAGGGGTGTCTCAGTCCTGCCCATTATGAAGACTTCTCTTGTTAAAGCCATTTCAAATCAAGCTTTAAAAAACCTTGTAGACTCAATTGATTTCAGAAAGAATCCTTTAAAATGTTTTCTTTTCACTGTTGAGTCACTTAATGTCATTCAAACTGATGTTTTAGGTTGTGGTCTTGCAGTCAGAGAACAGGCTGATGTGTTTTTAAGCCACAAACAGGAAATTTACATCCACATTTCCAGAGACCTGATGAGTCAAGACAAAAATACTGACAGATTAGAAAACCACAGGCAAGTCCAGAACCAAATCTGATGATATTAACTTGAATTTCACAGTAAATAATGTCATGAGACTGAGAAAACCCTCACTGGACATTGAGTTTCTTTAGAAAGTGCAAACTCAGCAGTTCAGCAGTTTCCATCACTGTAAATGTGCAGAAATTCACACTCTGGGTACATTTTGACACAAAGTCCCAAGGCAGACAAAAAACACACAGAATAACACAGTTAAACATACAAATGCACACTTTTTTACATTACAAATGAGAGATCCGCTTATAATAAACTCTTAACTCTTTAACTTGTCCCACAGGAACAGGCGTCAGGGGAAGAAGTTGATATTCTGGTCTTTTCAGGGTCAAGACGGGACAAAATCTCTCCATGTCAGTCAAGTGCCCTGAAATGTAATTTAAAGTTAAGAATCCAAACTTTTAGCTTTTTAAAACTCAAAGGTTTGCAGAAAACTTTATAATGAGGTGTGAGCAGAAACTCTGGAGCTTTTAAACAGCAGGTGACGGATTTTATTCCAACCGTGAATCAAATCCGCAATGAAAACAGCAGATTATTTTTACCATGATGCCTCTAAAAACCCAACATCTGAGAGTCTCTGAGAGTTAGATTTGCTGGTGGCTTCATTAACAGTGGTAAAAACAGATGCAATGAAAAACTCAAAGCCGGAATTATCATTTCATGTCTATATTGTGGACCGTTAATGCATATTTCCTCATATTTGGCTCACATGCTGTTATACACCATCGACTATTACAGACAGAAAATGTTGTGGCAAATTTAGTTTCATCTCTCAGCTAGTTTAAAGTTTCCTGATTTGATCTGCACAATCATCTAAATATGTGTTTATACTGTGCAGATGTTAAATAACAGCAAATGCATGCAGTCGGTGCTGAGCTCTATACACTTTTCCTGGTTAAAAATAGCTTTAAAAAAATCACATACGGCGAGCAGTTGCTGAAACATGATCACATAATCCATTTATCCCTTCTCTTCAGATGGCCTGCCCTGTCCGGTGGTCTCGTGGGATGCGTCTCTCTACCCAGAAGGCCTTGCTGCAGGCTCATCCAGCGTGAGGTTAACATGGGGGGAGTACCAGAGCTCCCTGAAGCAGAGGTGTTGGCTTAAAAACATCAGCCCAAGGCCTGAGTCTAGCTGCTCCTCAGTCCATCACTATGAGTGGAGTAAACTGGCTGTCTTTGACTTCCTCTTACAGGTAGAAAATCCTTAAAAATTATTCGTTTTTAAGACTCTTCAGTTTGCTTTTGTTGTGTTTAAATTGATTTATTTGGCGTTAGAAATATTCTCCTCCAGCTGTTTTGATAAAAAAAAAAAAGAGGTTAAATACTCTCTGAGGTATTATCCTTTGGCTGACCACACGCCTTGTTTCCTGTGTGGGAAGCCTGGATCTCCGATCAGACTTTAACATTTAGGGCGCATCACAAGAGGATTATTTGACTCATCTTTTGATCCAGCAGGAGCATATATCTAAAAAAAACACACACACACAGAAATAGCTCAAGTAGATTCAGAAGCTGTCGAATACAGCAGTATAACTCCACCACCTGAGGGGTTCATACTGTGCGGAGAAGAGAGAGGCATTCCTCCGGGGGATAAAAAACATCCTGTCAGACACAAGTGAACCGATGTGAGGGGGTCAGCTCAATTATATTTTGATTCAAAACAAAAGAGAAATCACAGCACTTCATGTCAGGAAAACTCACGGGCCGGCCTTGTCCTCAGCTGACCCTTGAATAATGTGCATACCAAAGTGACACCAGTCACAGCTGGAAACTGGATCTGAATCCTGCTCACTCTCTAAAAACCACTGCCTCTGTTTAAAAAATGGGACACACCGCAATTAGTCAGAAACACTCGTAAAATCCTCCCATAAAAATGCATCAATTTATTTCTAAAGACCCTGCCTTCGTGGATAGTCACGTTCTTTGAGCTTCTTTACTGGATGACTGTGTGAAATGGCTCTAGAGACCCGGTGCTGAGGCTGTTGTCAGGGATGCGGCTCTGATCAGAAACTCCAGTGAGCCACCGGCAGTCACATAAATATGCAGAAAGGACTCTGTTTGTGTTCAGTGGAGGAACTACAGAAAGAGACAAAACAGTGGATAAGGAGAGGTTAAGGGTACACAAACAGTAAACTTCAACAGAGAATCCTTTAAAAGCGAAGGTGTGAATGTAGCAGAGAGAAAGTGTAGCTAAATCTTTCAAATCAAACATTTTATATTGAATATTGTGAGCAAAAAAAAAAAAAAAGAAGTTATTTCTAAAAGCTCCTCATGCTTTTATTTTGATACTATTTTCTATCATGTGTTTATTTCCTATAGTGTGAAACTGTGCTTTTATTTTGAAATATAAGCCGAGTCTGGTAGATTGTAGGTTGAGGATCTGAATGAAAACAGTTAAAGAACATCAGAAAGAATAAATGTTTGATTAATTTGTCATTTCAGTTTTTACGAGTTTCCAGTCATCTCTTAGACCAGTGGTTTCTCAACTGGTGGGTCGTGAACAGCTGGTCAAAAAAGTAAATATTTCATGCGATATTTATTAGATATTGGATATTTTCTAGATATGCAACTTCAGTAGTTGTTGTTCTCATGTTGTCTCCTTCATGTGCTCTGAAATGCACTTTACTCGATAAAACAAGTGGATTTATGTTAAAGATTAGAGTCTCTAAAGGTTTTTTATATCTATAAAAAACATAAATTTGCTTGGTTTGAATTCTATAAAAGTGGGTCACGACTCAAGGACCATTGGAAAATGTGGGCCCCAGAGTGAGACCAGTTGAGAACCACTGTCTTAGATCTCAACTATGAACTCATAGTATTACTTTTTTCATTTTTAGCACAATAACAACATTAAATATCTTAGTAAAGATAGTCACTATCAATACCGGTATGTTGCAGCAGCCCTGGTTCCAATCAAACCTCCAGAACTGAGACGCAAAGTGCTGAAACTGCAGTTCCTCGACTGTCCACTTGAGGCGTGTGATCGTGACCTGCTCCTGACACTGTTACTGCAGCCTTACCCAAATTACCCTGTAATATTCAGGACAAACAACGTGATACTTTTGGAGGTGAAAAGGTTTTGTTTGAGTTATTAAGACAGAAGAGTTTGCTCAGGGGCTCGTTTGACAGCCATCCTTGTGGTGGTCCAGCTGTCACACTACATGCCTCAGTGGATGCACACTGACCCGAATCGACAGTACCCCCAGGATCCTCATAAAGATGCTTGTGAAATCCTCCCTGACACTCGTGAGTGACATCTCTGAATCTGTGACATGAGTTTGAGCGGTTACATTATTGAAAAGTCAGTCAGTCAAATGCTCAAGCATAAAGGGAGTGAGAGATGGTATAAAGCTAGACTGGGGATTATTGGCTAACAGGCTGCAGAGGAAGCAGGGATTGAATGAGAGGAAACGCAGCTTGTTAAGCTGAGGAAAGTCCCTAATGAAGAAATGTCATGTCAGCGGTCCAGTGGTCCAATTAATCCTGAAACTGTATGTGATTTAATAAACAAACAGGATTCAGGCAGTGAGATGAACTTGTTTAAGGATAATGAAGACAGAAGATTCTTGCCTGTTAAAGCGGGTTTCAGTGCAGAGAGCAAAAAAAGGAAATGTCATCCTGTGAGTAATCCTGTGAGCCATCGGCAAAAGTCTGACGGCACTTTAGCTTTTATTAATCTCCTTCAGATGAATAAAAGCAGATTCAGAAGCCCTTGAATATTAAAAATTGCGTTATCTCTGTCAGGCTGTTTCAATTACTCCATAAATACCAGTCTGAAGATGTCGTGTGATTGTATTCTCAGTGGGTGAATGAGTAATAAGAAGCATCATCTCTGTCGTAGATTCACAGCCGGCTGGATCAGGGCTGCTGTGGATTCAGACCCAGGATGGAGGATTTGTGTATGGAACTAGGACACCATGCTGAATGTGTGGACCAGAACCACATAGAACTGGCGAACATCGTCCACAGAGGTCACGACCCCAGACACCTGGTCTTCATCAACAATAAGGGATTCTTCGACCGCAATGAGGACAACCTAGACTTCAAGATTCTGGAGGGGATTAAAGAGTAAGTCAGGTTTGGTGGACTGATCTCGGCTGTTGTATTGCTGATAACCATCTCTAAAGGCAGATGACACATTGGTATTGTGCTGAAAATAAGCACAAGCCTAGATCACTGAGGGGGTGGTGACTCCATAGAAAAGATTATACTGGGATAAGGTCTGAATCACAACATAAGGTCATTAGAGTTCATTGGAAAATCTGATTTCTCTTGAGACGAGTTAAGTCGTAAGAAAATAATGCAGCTTTAGGGCTTTTGTGCTTCTCACCTTGCAGACCCGGAGGCTCTATCAGCATCATATACAGTCTATGGTTCATAAACTTGGATTCAGTCAAAGCTTGGATGGGGAAAAAATAGTTGAGATCCTTTTTGTCTGTTTTGTCATTTATCTGCAATCATATATCTGCAGTTAGTCAAAGTATGTGGTGGAAAGGCCAATCACATGACCATTAGAGTTCTTATTGGGCGCTCACACAATACGCAAGTAAAATCATCTACCCGCTTAATTCGCACAAATCTAGACACGTAAATGAATCGTATTTACTCTGACCGGCGAGATCAAGTGATAGACAAGGGTTTTTTACAATTTACCAGGTAATCCGACATCCTTACCCACTCACGCAAGCTCCTTTTTATTCCGGTTTCGGTAATTGAAAGAAAAGGTATCATGTAATTCAGGGCACCTCCATATCGACACGATCAGTTCGGACGACGACTGGGACGACGACAACTTCCGACGTCTTCTGCGTATATAAACGATTTCTGCCGACTTTGCAGGGTCAACTGCAGAATTAACGGCGTTCTGAATGAACGGGGCTTTGAAAAGTCCCGCAGCATGTGTTAGACGTCACCACTACACATGGACCAATCAGGGGCTGCCTCTCCCTGTTGTCCGGGTAACAGTGGAAACACGGTCTCTGATTGGCCCGGTTATTTTCTGATCGGGAATACACGCTCTCTATGGGCCGAAGTCCAGACTGTGGTGGGAAGGAACATCAAGTGATTCACGCAACAGGATGGCCCAGCCAGGCTACATTTTAGATACCAGTGAACAACTGTCCGTTCTCATACATCACCCAGCAACCTCCGTGCTGATTGTTTATCGTGACGTGAATATTTGCTCAAATCGAGACATTTTCAGCTCCCACCCAATTTGCGTCATTTGCGCCGCCAGAGTAGTCGGAGCGTCTAATTGCGTCTATGCAAATGATTTTACTCGCGCTTGATGTGTGGAGACAGTTCGGGATGTTTTGAAGCAACTAAGTTCTCAGTCGTGTCAAAAGAAATTTTAACTGTGTCTTACCAACTCATCAAGAGGAGCTACTTTCTAGATTAAAGCAGAGATAAACTGCACCATGCTGTGAGACACCATCTATCATGTGTGCTCGTTTATATCCAGATATCCAGAAAATTGGGCTGTAGCGGTTAGATGACTGAATGTGCACAGTCCCATTTTTATGTCTGCAGCTTGATTGGCTGTCAGGTAAATGGTAATGAGTCATTTCTACACATTAAATGAATATTCATATGCAGTGCCGTTACCTTTGCTCCAAAAACCTTGGTAAACATTTAGATAGGGTTCACTAAAGTTAAAGTTTGTTTTGGATTTGAGCCTTAGGAGTATGTTAACATCTTCCCTTCATTTATTCCCCACAGTTTTGTTTTGATTTGTATTTCCTAAACACAGCGCACAGGCATTGCTTTCATTTCATCCACCATTCGATCAATAAATCAATGAGTCATACCTCAAGGGAGGCAGGAGAGAAACTGCGGTTTGGCTTGTGTTTTCTCCTGAGACATGGATCTTTTTGATCTTTATCAAATATTCAGCCTCTACTCCCCTACTTCGAACCAGATATAAGAAAAATATAAGTCTAATCTTAGCTTTCCTGAGATAACCTAAGGCTGAGCTGTCATCACTCACAGATCTTATGGCACTGTGTTGAAATCTTCACATCTGAGGAGCGTCTTTGACTTTTCAGAGAGCAAAACAAACTGATTCCTGGCAAACATAACAGCTTCATCATGACCTTACTTCAGTCATTTTTAAAGGCCAGAAGACTGAGTCAAGCTTTTATGTCTTTTTTTGTTTCATTTTATTGCACATGAGGTAGAATTTATCCGCAGGTGTCAGTGAAGTCGAGCCAAACAGCAAATAAACCTGTTAGCTCGGTTCATTCACAGGCTTTTGTTCACGCTGCTCGTCGCTATATCTGTCTTAGTCTTGCCACAAACACACTCCCCCACGTTCATACCAACCTTTCTGCTGAGACTTTATTTGTAGGAGCTGAGTTGTTACCCACATGTTAACTGTTAAAATGTAAAAAAAAATGTTCAGACTTTCAGTTTGTTCTTGTTTGTGAGTGTGGAAAAGTTTGTTTACTTTGTTGCGTAGCAGTGCACCCACACATGAAGGCTTTTTATGTCTTCTCTCCGTCTTCCTGATGTTGTTTTTGTTTGTTCGGTCTTTTGTTTCTGTGGTTACATCTTCCATCTAAATGCTCCTGTAAGTGAAGAAGCTTCTTGTAGCACCATGCTCAAGATTTTTCTTCTTTGTTTTCACCTACTACCACTGCTGTATAAGAGCCTCCATTAAAACAATTTAGATGATCTCTGCTCCCAGAAAAGAGCTGCTCGACCTCAAAGAAATGTGCTTTCAACAAAAGAAAAAAAATATGTTAAAAGTGACTCACGGTCTGTGCTTGCAGGCTGCCAGAGCAGGCCGTGACCGTGCTTAAGAGCAAGAAGCTGAGGGAGAAGCTCCTCCAGTCTCTGTTCCTGGATCAGACCTACTGGGAGAGCCAGGGCGGCCGGCAGGGTATCGACAAGCTGATCGACGTCATCGAGAGGCGGGTCAAGGTGCTCCTCACCTACATCAACGCACACGGGATCAAAATCATCACAATGAACGCATGACGAGACGGGTGGCAGCATAGATGACGAAATTTGTATGACCTTTTGATCCTGAGTTATTCACTGTGTCCTTTCAAACTGGCCTTTTTAAGCACACTGGAGCTTTGTCCCCTCACAGTTTCTACAAGAGCCTGAAAAACACAAACAAATGAGATCCAGTATATGCCAACTGTTAAACACGACAGAAAAACTGTCGGTAAACCCAACCTTTAGTGTTATTTCATTGAGAAATACAGGACAAAATGAAGAATAAGAAGTCATAATTTATTTTCTCTTTATATGTATTTAAAAATATACATATTCAAAAGGTGAATGAAGGAAGAACTTTACATATCATACGACTATTTCTGAATTGGTGCTCTTCACACTGTAAATACAAGAAATGCAGATTGTTTGAGGTTAAGGTTACATCGAAATATGTCTTTAGCAAATACTGACAGAGACGTGATATTCTCAAGAAGCTTCACTTTCACTGAAACATTCATTTTCCTCCTTTCACGTCTAATCCTCCTCCATTATCATGTTCCTGTCATTCCTTTTGTTCCTCCTGAGGCCTTTCCATAAGTATAAATTACAGCATATATGAGAGGAACACACTTAATAATATGCTATTTTCTTCTCCACTTGTCTGATAAATGGCAGGAACTCAGTGGATGTAAAAGCCTCTTGGCACAACTAACAAGAAACAACCTGAATCAGCTTGGTGGGATCGGGTTCAAACATTTACACTGAACTTTTTTGTCTTTTTGGAGCTATTGAATGTTGAGGACAGTCTTAATGTATGCCCTTATTTTTCATTTGTTATGGAAACAGGTTATGAGACATGTATGGAATGAACTCAACAAAGTGACCGTACATTGTAAACTGAAGAACTTCAAGATAAGGCAGATGTTATTTTACTGTAATGACCCTATATAGGACTTCTTTGTCTTAAGACACATCTGAAAACTACAAAGGAGGATTAAGGCCACATGAAGAGAAAAAAAAATAATTACAAGACGGAGATTGAAGTCGAAATTTCCAGATTAAAAGATTGAAATTATGTTAATTAAATCAAAATTTTTGAATTAAAAATCAAAATCTTGAGATTAAAGTAAAAAATTTTGAGATTACAAAATGTCAAAATGTCATGAATAATGTTGAAATTTCGAGATTAAAAAAAATAAAATTTTGAGATTTAAGTTGAAATTTCGAGATCAAAGTTGACATGAATAAAGTTGAAATTTCGACTGTTTTAAATTTTGACTTAATCCCGAAATTTTGACTTCCTTCCTGTAATTATTTTTTTATCCTCTTGTGGCCCTGATCAACTTTTTGTAGAAAACACATCTGTGTTCAGCAATGTGCAGATTTTATGCAGATGTGTAATTCCCTCTGATGCAAGAGTCTGCTATCGCCCGGCTGACTGCTACCTGCATCATAGGATAGGACAGCCTACGATAGCATTGATAATTGCGGAGTCTCATCAACTAATTAGCACAGATTGCACACAACCCCTCCTGCTGGTCACTTGTCATAAATTTGGCTCTATAATAAATCAGAACCAGAACTCCACTTGGTTCATTTATTCAATAGTATACCACCTTTTGCTTTTAATGCGTGATAATGATCTCATGAGAGAGAGAGAGAGAGAAGAGAGAGAGAGACATTAAAAAGTGGTGCTATCAGACTGTTCTGCTATCCTATGTTTCCAGTATCCAGCATGCTTTGCACAGCGAAATTGTTACTTGCATCCTAAGAACCATAACCTGGGTAACACAATAACACACCTATCACTGCATTTAATACTGGTATTTCTTTGTTTTAATTTTTTGTAACACCGCAGGGCACCACTTCTCTTTGAAGTAAGTGTACTCCTTATAGCAGAGGCTAGTCAATACTCTCTGCTACGATACCAGAGGCATGAAAGATGAAGAGACAAAGTGAACAAAGTTGCCCAAAAGTAGGACAGGTTAATCATTAAAAAAAAGTGCAGTCAAAGAAGTTTAAAGAAAGTGGTTTTCAACGGCAAAGACATTAAACACCTGTCAGACAGCCAAGAAATGGAACATTACAGAGCGTTATGTTGAAAGATGGTGAGCCAGAAAGAATTGTCTTAAGAAGTTCTGTGGTTTTTACCCACTTTCAGACTCTGACATTCATCAAATAGAAAATAGGTTATTTCAGTTTAATGGGAATAAAATAATGATACTTCAAGTGCTCTGTTTAAACTCATGATCACATTTATTCCATTAAAATCTGGCAGTCTAATTTAAAATGACATTGACTGTGTTCATCATTATGCTAATTAAAAAGTTAGCCGTGTGTGAGGGTGGGGTGAAGTGGCTGTTATTGTTATCAGGGTTGTCCTATATTAGAGTGGTATCAAAATGCACTCTCATTCATTATGTTATAAAACATCCTCTGCCTTAACCATTTCTGTTTTATTTATTTTTGTACTTTTATTTTTATTTGTATTTTTGTGTTTAAGTCTCAGAAGTTGAATAAAAAAATAATTTGTCAAATATCTGATTTATATATTTATATGTGTGTGTCATTTAAATCATTCAGAAGAGAATCAAGCTCAGTACAGATGGTGATTTCAGCTTTCTTGAGTTTTGGCTTCGAACATGATAACACTTCGTTTTGACCTAAGGCCTGATATTTTCATTTCTTCACACTTGGTCGTGATTACATAAAAATGTCAGCTTTCATTTGTCAAAAGAAACAAAAAAATTCTCTTGCAGGTGTATTTTATGGGAAAAAAAATGTAACAGCAAATCCGCTCTTTTCCTCATGTCCCCTCTGCATCAGTCCTGGTCAGAAATAGTCCGCAGCCCTGAAACCCGACCTCGAGCGCGGCGTCTGCTTTTCATGCTGTCGTAAACAGCGAGCTTTGGGCTCTGAGAGTTGGAGTCGACAGGGCTTTGTGGGTTATTTTCTCGCGTCCGTGCCGGGCATTCACACGGCTGTTGTTTTAACCCCTCTGCACCCGCATTAGTGCGTCAGTGGGGTCCATGCCTCTGGGAACAGGAGGGGTCTTTCAAACACAAACACACACAGTGCTCTGCGGCGGAACTTTCCCTCTGTCTTTACATACATGTGTGTATGCATATGCACGCATAATAACATACACACAGACAAAAGATGACAAACTCATAGACACACAGGATTTGGGACCCTGGCCTTTCCTGTAGATCCACTAATGTCACTGCATTCGGTTCAACTCGGTGAAATTAGACCACTGTGAAATTGTGAGCAGCTCTGCAGGTCAAGTGCTGCAGGCCAAACTAATAAACAAGCCGAAACAAGCTGCTAGTTTGTCAGTCGACTCACCACCAATCAGCCAAACTTAAGACTTCACTTTTTGAAAATTTGCATGAAAATAAAGTGTGAATGTGTAAATTTACGGAGACAAAAACACTCAAATCAGGAAAGACATGCAAATGAATAAGAGATAAATACTGGTGCCTGAAGTCTACAGGTAGGAAAATGATTGATGGGTTCATTTGCTCTGAGTATATCCTCCACACAGTAATAGTGGAGGTACTGGTCAATGATATGTCTGAGGATGATGAGATGGTGAAACTGTGAAGACTGTGCAGTAGTAGGGAAAAGGAAAGTTTCTCTTAACAATGGCATGAATAAGCAGGAGGCAGAGAAAAGCCAGCAGCAGCAATAAGAAAGGCTAACAATGAGGGTGTCATTGGACAGATATGACCAGATTATGAGGACAGATGGGGAATGAATGCCATGTAGTATGAGAAATGATTAACATAGCTGGCATGCAAGAGAGAGGTTCACTGATTGAATACGCGAAAGCTTCATTTTCTTCCAGAGAATGAATCACTGAAAGCTAAAAGACAGAAATTACAATCTCTAAAAACCATGAAATTGTTTTTCCATGATTCCCCTCTCACATTGTTCAATCAAAATGGGCCAAGAAACATGAATTTGCACTCGTGATCTGATCTCATGTGATATTGTGTGTAAACACTTGGCCGTTTCCATAATAAAATCTCCCTGTGATAACTGCCAAGGAGATGAGTTACACAATACAGGAACATCAAAACTGAAATATTTCCACTCTTAGTTCACTTAGCTTTGCCTGAAGACAACCCAGGCATAAATAACGAGCCTCACATGTCAAGTGGAACATAAATTTAACATTACAACCTCTAAATCCTTAAAGGTACAGTGTGTTTAACTGGAAATGCTCGGCAATATCTCGCAGTTTGAGCCCAGTTTGAAATGCTCCTTTGATCACCCTACTTGTTGGTAAAGGTACGGTGGCCTTAAAGGACAAAAAAACTCTGCTACCATTTGACATCATGAAAACTTTGGCTGTGTCCGAAATGGATCCCTAATCCCTATATAGGGGACTATATGGAGGTTAGCACCATTTTGAGGGGTGTCCGAAACCTCAGTGATCAATTCCAATGCCCTATATAGGTGACTGAAAATTTCCCATAAAGCACTGCAAAATGTATTGACCATCCAACGGTCACTCACCGGTGGTGGGCATCCCGTCATGCATTGCGTCTTGCCAACCTCCAGTGATTGAGTTCACTACATAGTCAACTATATAGTAAAATCCCATATGGGGGTTAGGGGGTGATTGAATGATTCATTTCGGACACAGCTTTTGTCAATACAAATTCTTTTTCACACAATAACTTTCTTTTCTTTGTCCTCCAACAAGTGCATGCCACTCACTTAATGCATAAACACGTGTTAATAATTTGTCCATTCTGTGTTAATGTAGAAACATCGCGTGCAGCCTACATAGAAAGGGACATGCCCCTGTAGATATAAAAGGCTTATTTTAGGTCAACATAAAGCAAAGTTTCAGGTAAATATTCACTAATTTGAACATTCTGATGAATTTTATGTTCCATTTCTACCTGCTAAATGAAAAAAAATTACAATTCCCCATTTCGTGAGAGGTTGTGTGTATTGAACCATGTCTTGGTCCGGGTCTGTAAGGAGTCAACTCTGATCTCTTATCCAGAATAGATTCAGTACACATGATCTAAATACTGAAGCTTCAAACAGAAGAGCTCTTTATTCCCACAACCGCATCTCTGAGCTGATATCCACCCTGATGGTTACCATGACGTCACCGCTCATTATCATTTCGCAGCATCTGCACATTTATTTTGCAGATTTACCCCGCTGATATTATCATAAAAGATTAAGACGTATTTAACAAAACAGAGAAACTGTTTGATCTTAAAAAAATTAAATCAGTTAAACCTACAGCGAAAAGTTGATAAAAGGGAAAAACTGCATCTCTTTAAAGTTTCTCTGCCTCCGAGGAAAGTGCAGTGTTTGCAAAATGTATGTATCACTTTGGGCGAGTTGTTCCAGTCTGAAGGTTGTGGGCTGTTGTGTTCAGCTTCTTATTCGCTCATCAGGTATTGTCTTGTGCACTGGGAACGTTTTTGTTTTGGGGAACTGAGGTACAGGAGTTACTTTGGTTCGAAAAGTTCTCAAAAACCTCTCAAGGTCTGGAGTTGGAGTGAGTTTGTAAAATATGTACATGTACTCTCTGTATGGTGGGCCTGACATGTTCACTCTTGTGGAGATAATGAGCCTGTTGCTCTATTTGTCTCACTGTGTGACTACTTATCTCTCGTCACCTCTCTTTCTTACTCTGACTTCACTTGTTTTTTTCCCTTCCTTGTTCCTGAGGGAGTGAAGACTTGAAAATTTTTAGTTTTTAAGGCGGATGGATGAGAATAAATTAGGATGTCTGATCTCAGCTATGCCCAGCTGGCCGCTGCATGGTCAGACTCCTAACAGAAGAGCTCTTTATTCTTGTAACCGCAAATCACAGCTGATAATTACTCTGGTTTACCATGACGCTCAGGGTTGGACACTGACCTTCACTGAACTTCAGTTTTATAAAAATGCTCAGCTAGCAGTATAAGTCACAGTCATGGTAATTATGACATTTAATCCTCCAAGTCTGAACGTCTTTCCTTCCAACAAACTCGCCTAATTGTAGCAGCATAACAAATTTTCGTACATTTCTTGCAGCTTTTTCCATTTACAGGCCATTTTTTGGCTGAATGGGAGAAGAAGTAGTGATGTAGGTGTACATAATGATATGCTTGTCATCTCCCAGTAAAAATAATGAGGGATGACTCATACGGTGCTTAAGGTCTTAAGCAATGACTGAAGTTTGTTTTCTTCCCCTCTAACATAAAATGCCTAGCCAGTTACCCATCCAAAGCAAAGCACCAACAAGCAGTGATGGGCAGGTTATTGGAAACTGTCAGTTAGTTATAATGACTAATCAATCAAAATGACTGACTTATTAGAAGAGACCTGCAAGTTTTGAACGTCTAAACTAAACCTCAGCGAAGTTTCATAACTCGAGATACTTGAAAATCTGATGTGGTTCTCTTGTTATGTTTTGCGACTATACTGCCACCATTTGAGCTTTGCACAAATTGCAAGTTGCCGTCAGAGTCATTTGCATAACAAGCTTGAAATACCTGAACCTTTTTGTTTAGCCTCAATGCTACGTTAGCTCTCTGTTGCTATATTTTGCTACTTAAGTGCCACCATTCCAGCTTTGCACATATTGCAAGTTGCCATCAGTTGTTTGTATAACAAGCATGAAATACCTGAGCCTCTATAGCTAGCCTTAATGCTACCTTGGCTCTCTGTTGCTATATTTTTCTACTCTATTGCCACCATTCGAGCTTAGAACATATATAAGCTTTGCACATATTGCAAGTTGCCGTCAGAGTTGTTTGTATAACAAGCATGAAATACTTGAACTTCTTTAGCTAGCCTAAAGGCTATGTTAGCTCTCTGCCCTGCAAAACTCACCGAGGAATCATTGCTGATGATGCAACATGTGCACACTGGATGCTGTAAACACATAATAGCACAGAGCTGTGTTTAACAGAGCTGCCCAATAGATCAGCCCAATGTCACCAATACCAGATCTATACTTCTAAATTGGTATCCGGCTGATACTCCTAAACCAGGATCAGAACAGCGCACTCCTTGAGTTAGTTACAAATCCTGTTAACATAGGGTGACCATTTTCTCACTTCCCAAAAAGAGGACATGGCTACGCAGGGGCGGAGTCACTGAGTTTTTGGGTCGGATCGAGTGTTTTTTAGGTGCTTCTAACTCAGTAAGTCCATGTGACACAAACTCGAAACTTCCACACAAAACCGTGGACGTTTGAAGGATTTTATAAACTTCCCTGGACAAAGCCAGACAAGCCCGGACAGCTCCCAAAGAACAGGACATGTCCGGGTATAAGAGGAAGTATGGTCACCCTTGATAACAGCACTGCTTTTGTAGTTTATGAACTGCACATCTTGTTTAGTTACTGACTATAAAAACTTGCGTAAAAACCAACTGCGCCATTCACTGTTGTGCCAAGTGTCATATTAGCTGACACAAGCTATACCTCTCTAATTCTGCAAACAGGCCAGTTGCTTAAGCTTCACAATGAAAGGACAAATATGAGACCAGTATCACTCTTCTCGTCCAGTCCTTGGCAAATAAAAAAGATGCATTTGCAGGACTCTCTCTTGGCCTGTCTGTTGCCCATTCTCCTCTCCAAAGTTCTGATTTTATCCACCGTTCTAGCCTCTTGATAAAAGTCAAATATGGTCCAACTCTTCTCAGACATCTTTCTCGTCTTGTCAGTACTCTCTTCCAATGTACTAAATCAACCCCACAAAACATTTTGGCAGCCAGTATTCCTCTCAGCTTCCCCAAATTTCTCTGACAGGCCATTCCTGCTTTTGAATTTCGCCCCTCAATAGCAGCCTCAGTATTTCTTTGAAGCCAACAGGCCCGGCTGCTTTCTAAGATCCTTCTTCAACTGTAATTTGTAAACCGTTTAAGCATCTGAATACTTTTCTGCCTTTCAGGGCCAACAGAGTGTTTGAACAATCACAGCACCTGGGCGGTTACTGTCAGAACACTCCAGAGGCTGATTACACAAGGAGATAAGAGGAAAAAAGCTCTTCAATGATTTGATTCAGTCTCTTTCAACACAAAAGCAAGAAGACACAACAAAGTGTTCTGGCGGGTTCGCCTCTGACACAGTTGGAGGGAGGTTTTCTTTATTATGCTGATAAGGACTTTTGGGGAGAAACTGAAAGAATGTCAACATGTGTCGGATGAAGTCATGTCAAAGCTTGCTTTTTCACAAGATATCCACTCTGATTTACGCTCGCACAGTCAACAGAAACAGGGCGCACAATGAGCGGAGTTTTCTTTCACAGCTTACATGTAGAAACATTATCTTCAGGCATGCTGCCAGAGTCTTTTAATCTCATCCCTGCTTTGTGAGGAGGAGCAAGTTTGAGGGGATTTGAGTCAGAAATGTCCTCCCGATCCTCACTGAAGTTTGTGCTCCATTTGAAACTTTCTCAGGAGTACTTTCCACTTTTCTTGGTTGTTGTGTCATTTTTAAGAAAAACACTTGATGACTGCACAAGACAAGTGGTCAACCTCACTCAGTTAGTGTATACTTATAGTAAAAATAGAATGCATTCAAGCAAAAGGGTCTCATATAAGTGCAATAGCTTCGCCGGAGGCCATGCACAGACCTTCCATGTCAATAAAGATTTAATGAAAGCAGAAGATCGTGATCCACCTTGACCCCAAGCTCTAAAATAGAAACAGACTCAGATTTTACCGAAGGTTTCAATTTTTAAACCGCATAAAAATCCATATGCGATGAGGAGTGGGATTGATTCATGGAGGTGATTGTTGAAAGCTTCAGGCTAAATCGTGGCAGATAGTGCCGTGTGGACTGTCCAGCTTCCTTTAATGTGATGAAGTGCATCTTTGATTTTACACTGGGGAATACAAGCACTGCATGGATGCTCAAGCCAACTGCATGTATTATTTTACACCTGTAGCATGTCAGCACAATTTACTCTTACATTTGCTGTTTGTATTTATGATTCTGGACCGGGCATGCAGATCATCTGTGGGGTTTACAGGGCTTACATTTCCTCTGGTGGTTCACTGAGTTCAGCTTGTTCCAGAATATTTGAGCAGCCACTCATCTACCCTGCTGGATTTTCAGACATATCCTCTTCACCTACAATACCTCAGAGGTTTTGTTGTATTTACCTCACAGTCATACCACATACAAGACCAAGAGGGAACAAAAAGTGGCCGCCAGCTATTGCAACTCCTGGATCTTGTAATAAGTGTTTTTTCTTCTTCTTCTTTTATGGGTGTATTTATATGATTCATCCATTGGATAGCTTGCTGTGCACTGTTTGAAGGCCTTATACAAGGTCTTTTCCGGAATAATAAATCCCTCTGTATTTGTCTCTTACTTTAGGAACTACATCCTCCACAAGAGAAAGAAGAACCGATACCAGGACTCACTAACAATTTATAATACAATTAGAAGCAAAATAGGGTGATTAATAAAATGCAACTTTAAAAGAAATAGAAGAACATTCACCCCCTTGTAAAATGATTTTACTCTTTATTCAGGATCGTATTAAAAACATCCGCTACAGTTCACGATCAAAGTAATGATAGGAAGAACAGTTCTTTTGACTGTACTGAATCTTTAGAATTCGTTCATTAAAAAGATTCGTTCAAAAGATTCATTCACCGAATTAACCAGTACTTTGGAGCCCTGTGCAGCAGGGCGCAGTACACAAGTGAGTGACACAGTAGCAGTGCGTTTATTGAACGAGCTCCTCCCCTACCATGCTGCTAAAGTCACAGCGTAGTTCACTGGGTAACACATATCGTTCATTCGCCAAGTCGTGAGGGAAGAATCACTCCCCTGCCCTGAAAAACTCACCTCTCTGCGTGCCGCCGACAACATAGCAGCAAACAGCACGAGCGTGAGTCGTCGTTCTTTTTATTGCCGAAAAGCGGAGAGACTCAGTGATTGAACTGGTCCTCAGCAGTTCGTGAATGACGCTACCTCCATCCTCTGCCTGCCTCAAGTCATTTGTTTCATTCACAGTCTGACTGATACATGTCGTTCATTCGCCGTGAGCAAATCACTTCCACTCCTGACTGGCACGTCATGCTTGCGGCTGAGCTCAACTGAACTGAGAAAGGAACTAATCAGGTCTTGGAGCGATTCAATTCATGTTGTTTACTCAGCAGTTCCGTTCTTTTGAATGAATCGTTCATGAACCACACAACACCAGATCAAAAAAGCAGGCGTTGTAAACCAAACAGAACTTTTTGGTGCAGAATCTTAAAAACAAAAAATAAAGATAATTTCCCAAAAATGTGTAAATCACCAGTGCTTTAAATAAAATAAATCACAGCCTTTACAGGTTGAGTTCAGAGAGGAACATATACATCTAGTCTGAACCCAGTGAGCAGAGACATTTGAGTCCATGGAGGTGGATTAAAGGGATAAGCGCACACTAAAAAACGGGGTGAGGGATCTCCGCGGACTGGCATGTGAAACATCTGCTCCCACAGATATATGGAGCAATCAAAGAGTTGTGGGCTGAATATGTCACATACTATATTTAGAGTTCTTGTGATGAGAGGGGTGAGGCTCACTGCGGACTCTGAATGAGACCATTGAGGAGGATCACTGCTGCAGTTTTAGACATTATAGGCTTGCAAATTTATGCATGAAAAGAAAAAAAAGTTCAGCTTTTTGATCTGATTAAAAACACATCACTCAATCTAGCATTGTTATCAAGAAAGCTGTAAACAGCTGCCCCTCTCGTGTGGGCGCACGCTCATATATACAAACGTCCACATATGACCCAGCCATTTACTTTATTCCAGTGTTTTTCAACCCTTTTCAACCCTGTAGAGGACAGTCCTCTACAGTCCAAGTCTGTCAGTATGATATGAATTAGTCCATGTTCAGTCAGTCCATCCAGAGGTCACTCTGGGGTTCTGTCTGGGTCTTAGGCTGTAGGGCCCAGTAGGGCTGGTGGACAGTGGTAGGTCAGCATTGTCAAAGTCATCAGTCTCCCAAACAGCGTTCTGGGAAGGGGGGATGGGGTCAGAGTCAGTGTGAAGGTTGTCCGAGTCTACTAACCATGATCAGGACCATAAGTAACACATACACGCACATTAAGAGGAAAATGCAAAATAATTCCTAAGTAAGTAGTATCTCTGATTTCTTCAAGAGTGTTTTAGTTTGCATTTGAAGTATTTTAACTAATCAGCACAGAGGAGCACTCTTTCTAGTCCTCAAAGCTCTACTTGGCTGCATTTTTGGAGCACGTGATGTCCATTTTTCAAAAATATCGGACAGATGAGGCTTTCGTCTTAAACCAAAATAACAGACTGCATGATCCAAGTGAACATCACCAAGTACCACTTTTCTCAAGAGCTTTTTTCCTACTCAGAAGTTCAGAGTAAGGACATTAAAAAAAAGGTACATCAGAGAGTGGTTGTGGGACACACTGAACACTATACATGTGCCATAGGGCTTCATGCTTACATTGCAGAGTTTGACTGTCCCATGCAGGAGACTTAGCTGGATTCTATGCCTACACATTTGGACCAATCGCCTCCACTGAAAAAGAAATCTCAGTGGATGAATGAGGGCATGAAAATACCCCCCCTGCAATATCAGCTGTGCTCAAACAAGCCACTGTGAGAAACCGCATGTTACCCTACCAAACTGACACAAGCATGTGCAGTCAGTGAGAGTTGGTGGGAACAGTCTGCAGAGAGAGGCACCAAACATTCCTCACCTATCCCATTCCCGACTCATCTCTCTGAGGTCAAAACTGGCCCTGCAGCCAAACTTTGAACTTGGCCGGGCCTCTCTCAGGAGCTATACAAAGAGCTTGAGTCATCCATGAGGCATGGACTGTATATCCTATACTATGGAGAGGAAATCAAAGCTTGCCTCTAAGACACGACAAATCAGAGGACGACAGTGTGTCCAAGAAGCAGATCAGGGAGTATCAAATAGCATTTGCGACTCTGGTTGTGGGGCTTGATTTCTAGTGGGAAAAACCTGCAATTTTGTCAACAGCTAACAAGAAGCAATTTTACCTTTTCTTTTATTTAGTTCTTTTTGTGAGAATAATGACTGTTCTCTCTCCAGGCTTTATCTGTTCAAAGCCCCCATTAAAGCAAGTTTAACAGTCAGGGAACAAAGCAGAAAATTGTTGTTTTCTGAAACCGCTGCAAGGTGTCCGACTAAGCACAAAGCACTAACAGGCCGATCGAGGCGAACGCATAAAAACCTTTTAGAGAAGCCAGACAAACAAACCTGCTTACAGTGGTGGCAACTGTCACAAAGATGTGTTAATAGCATTGCAGCTAAAGCTTAGAGAAGAAAGTGCTGTCATACCTGGACATCAAAAAAAGAAGGAAAGAAGCGGATGTTTCCAGAGAGAGTGGAGATCAATGAAAGGCTGAGCTGTGCCATAGCTGCTTACATTTGGAGTTGGCAAAAGTTAGGAGCCAAATGATGGTGGTTGCTTTACTGGAAATGCTGACACAATTGAATTTTCAATCCACCTGGAAATAAAGGTGAAGATGAGGCAGGACCCGCCTGTCAGAAGACTCAGCTGCGCCTCTAATTAAAAGGTAGGGAATGGCAGAGAAACTACCTATACCCAGATTAATGGTGACCGCTCCTCCTGCAAAAAAGAGCAAGAAAAGAAAGACGGAGGCAGAGAGGGCCAAAGCAAGATAGAGTTTGGAGAAAGCAAGGGTGAAAGTTAACATCGGGACAGCTTTTCAGCGATGGAGAGAACTGAAAGAGGTCAAGTGCTTTAAAAGTGATGAAAGTGATCTCTTATTTTCTGTTGGAAAGGTACGTTGAGGGTATGTTTTTAAGGGCGATTTTTAATCTTGATCAAGTATTTAGCCATGTTGCTAGTTATGTGGTCATCCCCTGCTGTTCAAAGACTTCCTAATCTAAAGTCTAAAGTTTTGAGTGTGTGGTTCTGAATCAGCAGACAGCAGCGCTCGTGCATGTGAGCGGGGGCGTTGTTTTGGAGGATCTCCAAGGGCAGAGGGGAGAAGTGTGACAAAGTTTCAAATTCATGCTAGTTTGCCATTATTACCAACCCTACCTTTAAGCAAATGCATTCATACCTTTCCCCTTTAATACCCTAAGAAGGGATGAGTTTGAAAGAAGTCTCCACCTTCTCAGAGTGCATGAGTACAGAAATGAGCTGTTCAGACCAAAACTGTTTTTTGTATCAGCCTGTAAACATACTTCATTCAGCTGGGGGAAAAAAGGCATTTTAACATGGGCACTTACAGTATAGGGTCTCCAAAACTTTTGGGATGCGCCTCAAGTGGACGGTCAAGGAACTGCACTTTAATGCACTTCAGCACCAGCTTTAGTTTTCATCATTGGTGGTTGCTACTTGATTGAACTTATCCTTGCAGACAAATCTAGAAAATATTTTGGTGCCTTCAACTAAATAAGGGCACATCTCCTCTGCAAACTTTAAAATTCGTCTTTTATTTTATTAGCTTAACGTGGGAACTGTGAAGCATGTGCAGAATACTAAGGCCAGCTTGAGTCAAACTGAAGTGCAAACATGGAAGAGAAAATTGACCCCTGACCCCAATATCTAGGTATGTTTTTAGTCAGACTGATGTGTTTATATGTATCTTGTACATGACTGTTATACAGCCTCCCCTAAGAGTAGTCTTTCTTCATCAAAGTAGTTTTCATGAACACAAAGATTCCCACAGGGATTTATGTCCTCTCAGTTGACTCCTCTCAGTACACATAATAAAGGGAAACAAGGCCGAATTCCTCCAACTGAAATTGATTCATAGCTTAACATTATTCTGTCATTGTCCCATGTTGACCCCAACACATCGGCTACAGCAGTTAAGTTTGTCCTTGTAATGCCCGTCTTTACGATGAAGATGCTATTCTTACAAAGAGCTGCATAGAGGAGAGGTCATGTGGATAAAATGAGCACAGGGAAGCCTTGGCCCCGGTCAGAGCTCAGCTCTCTGCAGAGGTTAACAGGCCATAAATCTAGATTAAAGACACTGTTGATGTTTGTGCCCTTCTGTGACAGATAAAGAGAAGGATAACCTGAAATCAGTATGTGGTAAAGATAAGAAGTTTTCTCTTTTCGTGTGTAGAGAAAAAAGGTCAGAGTTCAGCGCATCTCTCCCACGTCTTTGAATTAACCTCGTCTTATTAGAGAGTAGGAAACAGAATAATGTATTGTGACTTTATGACCTCAGACTTTCAAAGGCATCATCGACTACAATTATCTGATAAAGCACCAACATTTAAAATGTTTCTGTGTTGAGCGTAGGCTGGGTTGATTATTTCTGGTGCATTCCAGGGATCAGCAAATCAAACCCCTCTGAGGTTTTTACAACATAATGTCGAGCACATCTGTCAGTCTGTTTATGGAGGCAAATAAATTAATGTCACACATCCACCTATAGAAGTTGGGATGACATGGTGGTGTGAATTCCACATGCCTTTGCTCAACACATGGACTATTTTTTTTTTTTACTGTGTACGCTGAAGCTTGTAGATCTGTGATTGGTCAGAACCGGTATAAAAGCAAGAGCACTGTCCATCCTGAAACCTCTGACCTCTGCGGACAAAAAAGGCTCTAAAAATAAAGTGTCAGATACACAATAATGGTACTACGGTGGCTAGGGAGTGCAAATCAAAATTACAAAATCTGAACAATTTTACAAACTTTAAATTAATGTTTATTTTACAAAACACTTTTACAATTAAAAAAATTAATGTAACTAGCAAAACACTTACCAAGGAAAAAATAAATTGCAAAAATGCAAAACACTTTTACAAGTCCTGAGACAAATTTACGAAGACGGACCGGGACAATTGTTTGGCGACAGAATGATGTGGCATCAACACAACACAAACTGACTGACCTCCCGGTAATCACTTCTGGGTCAAGTTCGGTAAAGTAAAGCAACACAATTAGTCAAATTGAAGAAAGGCAAGACAAGGTTGGAACAACATATAACTTCATAAACTTAGACTGAACTTGCGTTTTATCTCTTTCTAATGATTTTTACATTTATAATTTCTTCATATTAGAAACCTGGGACTGCTTTGGAGAAGACATGTTTTTCATGCTTTTACTTACACTTTTTAAGCCTTGTGTTTCAGATGTTTTTTTTCTTTTTTCCTGCATCATCAAACTAATCTCTTCACACCAACTATGCTTTGTTTTCTTCAATTTGGTTGATGTCCCTTTCACTCAGCTCCTCTGCATGTTTTCACATCCCTTACTTTTTTCTTGTATTCTTATTTTTACAGGTGACCAATCTGATATCGACCACCATTCTTTAGCTTGTTTTGATCTTCATATATTTAATAAAGAGTTCTGATCTGCAAACTCACCCTCCACCAGCCTGTGTGCAGAGAGAGAGAGAGAGAAATAGAGAGAGAGAGAGAGAGGGAGAGCAGGAAAGAATGTATCACCACTGTGGCTGAAGCAGCTCTCAAAAACAAAATCTTCCATGGTTAGTCTGACCCGATCCTGCAGGAATCCAAACAGGAACAGCCTGGTCCGGTCTGTGCAGAGCGGGCCAAAAAGGAAATGAGCGAGAGCAGCCTCAGGGTGCGGCGCGTTCACGGTCATGCCCATGCGTCTCCGGCCTCGCTGGCACAGCAAGCCAAGAAAATCTTTACCAAGTGGATTCTTAGTCTGTGTTTCCAGAGCTGTTCATGACTCACAAACAGTGTTTGATTGAAACTTAATGAAAAGGAAATTGTCCTTTTCCATGTTTACTTTCAAGTCAGTTATTAGTTTATTTCAGGCAGAGGCATGAGGCAGTTTTTTGGGCTTTTTCTGCCTTTAGAAAAGAAACAAACAAACAGGGAAAAGAGAGATGCAAGCCCCCTAGTGGAGGTGAAAGAGGTCATTTGAGTTCATTGTCAGCATTTTGGTCGGTGAGCCGCAGGGATGTTCCATATTGTGGGATTATTTAGATAAATATCCTCACTTTTCCATACTTGGAAAAACTCAGGATTTCTTTTGGGTCTTCGCTGAGTTCAGGTTTTATTTAAGGCCATCTTAATAAGCAGAAAAGTTTGTGGTGTCTTCGACAATCTTGTCACAACTTTCTTACCTCCTCAGTTTTTATGCTGCTCCTTTGGGTGAAAAGTAAGTATTACTTTTCATGAACTAATTTTCAAGAGTTTAAAAGATACAGCTGTAAACACCAGATGAAAACAAGGAAACAGCATCACTGTAAAGTAAGGAAAAGAGGACTTATATAGTGGCAACTTCCATCCATCTATCCATTTTCTTCACTGCCTGTCCAACCTGGCAACCTGGTGAGAGGTGGGGTACACCCAGTCCAATTCAGGACTGACATACACACACATGCATGCACTCACACCTACAGGTGATTTAAAGGGACCAATTAACCTAATGAGCATATTTTTAAACTGTGAGAGGAAGCTGGAGAGCCTATGCATGTACATACAGAGAACATGCAAACTCCATATAGAAAGGCATCTGCCCAACTGGGGATTTTTACTAATTCCTTTGGCTGTGGGGCAATAATGCAAAATGAAACCCAAAATAATGATCCCTGATAAAGCAAGAAAAACGCAAGTGGTTAAAAGCTGGAGTAAATTAGTAGGTGTTAAAAAAAGGTTAAGAAATGCCACCTAATAACTTTCTGAATCAAACTCGTATTAAAAGAATGAAATGGCAGGGGACCCGCTGTGCGTTTAAAATGTAGTACAAAGATTAACCCTCGACAGTATGAGCACAAATCTTTCACCAAATTAGGAAACACTGCCACCTAGAGAATTTAGAGCAACAAATCAATCCAAATCTTATTTCTTGCCACACAGGTGTCTGACACTACAGGAGAGATTCTCAATCCTCAAACCACTAGATTGTGTCTGCTCTGTGGACAGCCTATCTTCAGATTATCCCCTCCATCACTGGTAGGGACTGTGAAGCTTAAAATATCCAGTTGAGATATTAGCCACACCAACACGTGCCTCTGGTGTGGCTGCATACCATTGACTGTCCCACCGTCAGCTAAATGAGGTCGTCTCTGGTATGTGGAGAGTCCCAGTGGAAACTGGATAAGCCCTCAGGAAACTTCCTCAGCAGCAGTCTGAATTTATTAATGGAGTCACTTTGGTGGCTGCAAGACAGTCACTTCAAAGAGTGGCTTTGCTGCTCTCTTGTGGTTGAATGACAGAACTGCTTTTCTTTTGGAAGTATTGGAGGCTGATTTGCGCAAGGCATGGAGTGATGCCATCTATTTAACAATAGACTGACTTTATTCTGAATCCCCAAAGAAAGGACATGACTAAGCGGGGGCGAAGTCACAGAGTCGAGAGTTTTATTTACGCGCTTCGAACTCAGTAAGTCCATGCGACACAAACTCAAAACTTTCATACAAAACCCCGGACATTTAAAGGATTTTATAAACTCCCCCGGACAAGGCCAGACAGCCCCCCCAAAAGAGGAGATGTCCGGGTAAAAGACGTCTGGGACATATGGTCACCCTCATTAAAAACAGACTTACATTATGGAGGGAATCCCAGTTTTGAAGTCTGTGATGGACCCACAAGGGTGAAAATTATGCACTAAAGTGGTTTGGGAACAACTCAAAGGGAGAAAATAATTAACGCAGCTTACATTTTATTAATATATTGGGAAATGATATGACTGAGAAAAGAATGTAAAGTACTCCATCCAGAAGCTTTGTTGGGATTTACCTCTTCTCAGAAGAGGTAAATCCCAACTAAGATCTGAGGGCTTTTAGATAAGAAGTGCAATGACTCTCTCTACCTCTACTTCTGTCTCTACCATTTTATCTGAAAATGAAAACTTTGCTCTTTTAATTAATGTGCTACTCTTGAATAGCAGAGTAAAAACAAACAATCAAACAAAAAAAAACTCAAGAAAAGATGTTAGTACCGTGATCAGTTCTTTATAATTATTTGAGTTATGAATCGTGATTTTAAAATACATTTCAAGATAATTAAAGTGTTTTTGAGTGAAACGTAATCGAAATAAATTTGACTAAAAGAATTATCCTTATTTTACAACTTTGGGAGTCATGAGAGTGCTTTCATTGTGAAATAAAGTGTTGAGTTGTTCTGATCCTCAGCTGTTCTAGACTGCCCACACTCCAATATATTAAAAAGAAACTTCTACACTTTGCTTTTTTTTTTTAAGAGCCATTTTTTTTAAAAAGAGCTTTTCCCTCTTCTCTAATAAGTAATGAGGCGATAGCTTGATAAAGAACTGAGCATGCAGGAATGACACGGAATGATGACACTTTATGAAAAACACTCCTTTGTGTTTGCAGGTTCATTCAGAGTGGAGGACTGGGAAACTAGGAGACAGAGAGTGGAATGATGAAGGGCGTGGGGCAGCAGGCCTTAAGTTGAACCCAAGGTGTCGACCCCAAGGATTGCAACCTCTGCAACCCAACCTCCTGAACAAACTGATACCCCAGTTTATGTCCAGTTTTATGATGCTACATCACTACTTGCATGCTAACTTAATTCCATGCAGGCCCCCAGCTGCGCTGTCTCCTCTCTGCTCACTCTGAACTGATTAACTGTTGCTCCCTGAGTGTCTACGAAAACAGAATTCCTTCTATGGTTTTCCAGCAGGCTCTCCGTCTGCCTTAAAACACTTCAGAGATTTGGTGTTGCTTGCACAAAGTGGGATAGTTTCTATGGAAACCACCTGGATGCAGGAAGCCAGGTTTCCCAGATGTTAGCAGACACATGCACATGTGCACTTACAGCCCACTGACTCCTCTTATAACATGCAAAAGGGATTATTTTTAGTGTTTCTGTTTCTTGATAATGCCTACCAGTTCTCCTAGTGCCACCTTGTGGAATAATGTAGTGCTACATTTCTGCCTCACTGCATATGCACTCTCATCTGTTTCCAGGTGATATTCAATTTAAACAACATGCTTATATAGGGGGAAAAACGCTCCCATGTATAGTATGTATCTCTGGGTTCTCTGTGCTCAAGCGAAAGCAAAGGGTTCAGAGGACTTGCACATTTAAAGCCACAGTCTGCATCCTATGAATCAGCAGGTGGAGCAGTGTTCGAGCCCTGCCAAAAATTAGGTTTCCCACATAAGGAGCAACCAAAAGTGAAAAAAAGTGAATAAACTGTGATAAAACTGTTGATTAAAAGATGATCTTATTGTCTAATTTTACTGACTTATCAGTAACTTTGAACAGAATCTTAACAAGTCACCACTGATATCAGGTCTGGTCATATAATCCCAAATTTCCTACAATTTTTTACAAGTCGTATAAAATTAGGAAACAGAACCAGTCTAAAAATCTTGCGATGACATACTGTACCTACACAGCCAAACATTTCCACTGTGCAGTGTGTGATGAAAAATGCATCATTTACACCCCTGTGTCTTTCTCTTGTCTCTCTGTTCACGCCGTTTCCTGACACGACGCCCTCTCCTGTGGGAGCTGAGAAACTAGAAATACCTCGACCTCTTTGCGTCAAACCCTCCCGCCTCACAGGGTGAAGCTCCCTGGTGGCCTCACTGACAGTGACAAACTGAC